TATTTTTTAATCCCAGGAGGGAGAAAGCCCATGTGTCCTTCAAGGTCCACAGGGCCCTCTGATGGCACTTCACTCAGAGATGCACACCCTCCTCCTCCCCCCTCAGCCTGTGCCCACACTCCCAGCCGCACATCCCTGAGTGACACGTGTTCTCTGACACAGATGGCCCTTGGCTAGGAGGAGGACACATGCCTTGTCCCCTCCCCCACACACACACCGCCACGGCCGTGCCCCTCGAAGGGAAGACAGTCCACAGATCCCGCAGAATCCCCCCCAGGGGACCAGGAGGGCTCTGGGTGCACGGGGGCACTGCGGAGGGCTCCGTGGAACCAGGATGGAAATGCTCCTTTTAAGATGACACGTGTCCCCTTCAGGTCCGCTCGTGAGAGTCGAGTTCGGCGGAAGGCTCCTGCGTTTGGCCCGGATCGATCAGCCTGTTCTCCCGGCTCAGCTCTCCGGGCGGGGGCCACACCTGGCCGCGCTCTGCAGACCGGGCCCGCCTGGCAAAGCCCACAACGCCCACTGGGCGGGCGAGCACAGGGACGGAGGCGTCCGCGGTGGCCTGCCCTTTCTCTGGGACGCATGCCCACCCCGCTCGGGCGGGGAGAGGGGGTGGCAGATGCGGGCACGCAGGAGACAGACAGTGATCCTGCAGAAATCTGTGTGGGGGCGGGCAGGCGGGCGGGCGAGCGAGCGCACTTTAGTCACTGCACACGGGGTTCCGAGCGGAGACTCAGACTGAAGGAACTGGCAGCCGTCACCTGGGTGTTGCTGGCCCCTGGCCAGGTAGCTTCTGCTTATCTCTGAGCTCAGTGAAGAGCAGGTGGGGTGTGTCCCAGCAAACAACCTACACAGCGGGGTGTTTTTCTGAGGAAAGCACGTATTTTGTTTGGAAGAGTGCTATGGGACCAGGGCTGGGATGGACCTTGGATACCACTGGACCCAGAGGCTAGGACCCAGACAGGGAAGTGACTTACCTAAGGTCACACAGCGGACAGTATTGCAGGCGAGGGCCACGACCCGCCAGGATCTCCCCAGATAAAACGTGCCGATCGGTGGAGAGGGGCCACAGCGTTTGGGCAGGTTCGAGCCTCACACTAATGAGAGGGCACGGCCCTCTTGTGGCAAAGCCACGTGCAAGTCCCAGCGTGGAGGGCAAAGCCCTCCCACCCAGCACAATTACAGCCACGGCTATGGCTGTAAGCTTGACCTTATGGTCTGAACCTGTGGTCACCGGCAGCTGAGTAATATGGGCTGCGGGAGGCGCAGCAGGTGCCGCCAACACAGAGCTTGCTAGGGTTCTCAGATGCATGTAATTGAGAGGATTCGAAACCCGGGAGAACATTGTGAACGCCTTGACCACACCCTTGCTTTGCCTCGTGGAATCTGACTATAAAATAAAGACTCGGCTTGCAGGCTGTGGCGCTGTGTCTCCACCCGAGAGCAGCGTCCTACCCAGCCCCAGCTTTATTCTCTCGTCTGTCTTCTTGGATCCTTCACCGCCCCTCAGGCTCACCCCTGGCCATGCTGAGTGCAGCACACGTATCATTGTGTCTGCGACTGTGTTTTTAAAGAGATAAGGTTCCCTACCCCTCAGCCTGCAACTTTATCCTGTACCTCTCTGATTCCTTGGCATGGGAACACCTAGCCTATAACTAAATATGAATTGGTTAAAGACCATTCATCAGTTAAATGATTAGACAGAGCCCACACATCAGGTTTGACAAGGGGTTTCACCCTGGCCAGGGTGGCTCAGTTGGTTAATGCTTCCTCCCACGCACAGAAGGGTGGCAGGTCCAATCCCCTGTCAGGGCACATGCCCGGGTTGCAGGTTCAATCCCCGGTTGAGAGAGTACAAAAATGCAACCAGATGGTCTCTCACATCAATGTTTCTCTCTCCCTATCTCTTCCTGGATTTAAAAAAAAAAAAAAAAAAAAAAAGGAATTTTAATCCCTGATAGGATGTAAGTAATTTTATCCATGTTGATAGTATGTTGCTTTAGATTTGAGACATAAATCTATAAAGACACATAATTATCACATAATGACCTCATGCATAATTGATGGCAGATAAAAAGTATCATTGTAGAAATATACAACATGCATTGAAAGGTCAGGTATTCCAGGTTACAAACACTGGTTTATTTCAAAGAATGAGGAAACTGAGTCACAACCACACCTGATATCAGCCAAAGATCGGTGCCCAGAAAATACTTTTTCTTTAATGTTTATAAAAACTAGATGAGAAAAGCATAGGCACCAACCGAGGTTTAAAAAAAAAAAAAAAAAACTGAACCACCTGCAGTGTAGGCAGCTACAAATAGGACTGAGCGGTGAGAAACAGTCCACGCAGAACATCCTAGCAAAATTCTCACCCCACACACCCACCAGGCACACACTCCTAACAGATGGTCTCCAAGGAGCAGCTAAACATTCCATAGGCCAAGTGCACAAACATTAATGATGAAAGCATGACGCTGTGTAAAGGAGCACAGCCTCCTCTCAGCCTCCGCCTCAGCTCCAGGACCAAATCACAGCCACAGGGGGGGGGGGGTGGGGAGGGCCCGCTGCAGCCCAGGCGCCTGACGGATAACATCCGGTCTGCGGTCCAGGGTGCGTGTCCACCAGCCTCTGCCCACAGCCCGCAGCGCAAGGCCAGGGCACAGCTAATCAACACCAGCTCCCCAGCTGGGACCTGGCGCGTCAGGAGAGGAGGAGCATCAGCGCCGGAGTCCAATTTAACTGTTGGAAGGAAGCGGCCTGGGCCGGGCTCCAGGCTGCTGGGCGGGGATGTCCAAGCCAGTGACAGGGGGGCGCCGGGTTCCCCCCACCCCCAGCTCAGCGGAGGCATTGTCTGCTCCTGGCAAAGGGTTAACCTATCCCCAAAAAAGGTGGGGCTGAAGGGGGAGGCGGGAGAAATCCCCGCAGCACCTCCTCCTTCCACTCTGCAGAGAGGGGAAGCGGGCACCCCTCCCAGAGGGGGGGCCCAGACACACCATTGTCTAGCGGGCCGCCCGGTCCAGATGGAGCTCACGGAAACATCGGAAATAACTGTGACTCCATCCTCCCTCCGACGGCCTCCTCCGCGGACTCCAGCACCCCCATTCCGGGGCAAGTTGGAGAAAAATGCAACTCCTGCAAAGGCTCCCCAGATTTGCTTAAAAATGACAGGCAAATGGGTTTAGGGCCCGTGGCCATAACGCCCCATCTCCCGAATCACCAAATCTGTCCCCAATTTAAGAGAAAAAGTGTGCCCGGCCCCGGACAGGAGGGGGCATCCGCAGCGGTAAACACTGAGGGTGAGATCCGTGAAATCCATGAAATCCATCATGCTTTGCCCGGGGACCAGCCGAGCCGGGCTCCTCGCCCCGGGCGGCCGCAGACTCCGCACCGGTCCCGTCTCGCAGGGAGTCCCCGCCGAGGGGGCCGAGGGGAAAGCGGGACCCCGCGGACATGGAGCCGCCGAAACGGGAACCGCGCGGGGCCGCGGGAGGAGGAGGCGGGAGAGAGCGGGTCCCGGCTCATCCGTCAGCGCTGATGTCCTTTGTTGTTCACCTTCGCGCAGCGCCGCGCGCCCCGGCCCCCTGCCCGGCGAGCGGGACGGGGGCTGGGCCGGCCGGTCCTGCTGCCAGCGGGGCCCGGGCTCCCGGGAGCCAGGCTTCCCGAGCCGGGACCCCGGCACCGCCCCCCAGACGCCCGCCCGCCGCCCCCGCCGCGCCCGGCCGGCCGGAGGGCGCCCGCAAGTGAGGTCCCCCCCAAACACCGGCCCTCCGATCGCGGAGGGGGACCCGCAGAGGAGCCCAGTCCCGCGCCCCGCCCCAGGACGCAGCCCCCCGCACCCGGGTCCGGAGGGAGGAGGAGGGGGGAGGGACCCGAGGAGAAGGCTCCGGCCCGGCTCCGGCTGTCAGCGGGCTCCAGAGCCGAGGTCCGCGCCTCCCCTCGGAGCGGGGGTGTCCGCTCGGCGGCCCGGGCTCTCGCCTCTCTCTCTCTCCAATCTGGGTCCCGGCCACGGCCGCGGCGGGGACGGAGGGAAGGAAGAAGCGGAACGCCGGCCACCCCCTCCTCCTCCTCCTCCTCCTCCAACTTGACACTCGCGCCGCGTCGCCTCCCAAACTCCGCAGGCGGAGCCCGCAGCGGGCGGCTGGCCGCGCGCCGCCCCCGTCCCCGCCCGGAGTCCGAGCCCCCCGGGCGCTGCGGGGCGAGACCCCGGCGCGCACCGCACGCCCCGAGGCCGGCGCCCCCGGAGCACCAGCCCGCGGCGCGAGGCCAGCCGGGAGAGGCGCTGGCAGCCGGCGGGGCGCGCGGGGCGCGGGGGCAAGGACGCGGCGTGCGCACCGGCCCGGCCCGCGGGGATGCCGGCGGCCCGCGGAGACTCACCCACGCCGTATTTCTCGTGCTCCGTGGGCATCCACATGGCTGGACAGGGCGCCGGGCGCTCGGCTGCGTCCTGCCCGCGGCCCCGCTCCGGCTCCGGCTCCCAGTGCACAGCCGCCGAGGAGTGCGCTGCGGGCGCCGGGCGCGCTGCAGGCTCCCGAGCCCGGCGCTGACACCGCGCGGCCCGGGCTGCGCCGCCTGCCGCTACGCCGGCGGCGGCCGCTCACAGTCGGGCGCGCTCGCGGCGACCCGGCGGCGGCGCAGTCATTGTTCTGATTCACTGAACTAAGCGAACACGCCGGGGCACTCGCGGGCGCACCCCCGCCCGCCCGCCTGCTCCCGCTCCCGCTCCCGCCCCCCCGGCCCTGCGCCCCGATGCACGCTGGGAATTGTAGTTCTGAGCCGCCCCATTCCGGAAGGGGGCGTGGTATGACCTATTAGGGGCGGGGGTTAGGTTCCGCTCGCCGCGTTCTATTGGTCCAGAGAGTGACGGCACGACGTGGGCGTGGAGGAAACGTCACTTTGAGGGGGCGTGCCTTCCCAGTCGCTCTCGCATTGGTTCCTGTCCGAACCGCCCCGCCCCGCCCCGCCCCGCGGCCCTCCCCTTCCCTGTCGGCGGCGGCGGCATGGCGGCTCCCAGGGCGCGGGGGGCTGCGCTCGGAGGCGGGGAAGCCGGTGGCGGCGGGGCCGGCGGAGCCGGGGCTGTCAGTAACGAGGGTGAGTCCGGTGCCCCAGGCGCGGGGGCTCTGCGCCTTCCTCGTGGACCAGGACGCCGCTGGCCGCCGCGCGCGGACCCGGGAGCCGCGGGTTCTGGAGCCGCACGGGCGGCGGGGCCGAGGGCGGGCCCGGCGGTGCGCGTGGACGCCGCGGCCGGGGCGGCCGTGGGGGAGGGAGAGGGCGGCGCGGCCTCCGGCGGCGGGCGTGCGGGTCCCCTCGGTTCGCCCGCGGGCGGTCACCCCTCCGGGGCTGGCGGTTCGGGCCCCGCCTCTTCGCTCGGCGTGGCCTGGGGAGGAGGTGGGCGGCGCCGGCTGACTTCCAGGGGCCACTGCTGTCCAGCCTGCAGATGTGCCAGGCGCCGGGGGGCGGCCCCGGGCGGGCACGGCGTGCCGCCGCCTCCCTGGCGGCCGGGGCCCCGGTGGTTAGGGGTGGAGGTGGGGCCAGCGGGGTCCTCGGGGTGGAAGGAAGGGAGAGGCATCCGCCGCCGGAAGGCGGTTCTGAAGGCGCCAGCTGCCGGGGCTCTGCCTGACCCGCCGCAGCGGGCAGTGCCCGCGCCCGGAACGGTTCAGGGGGTTGTCTTTAGGGTCCCCAGCCCCGTCCTTTCACCGTTGGTCCGTCTCCTGCCCTCCCCGCCGCCACCCCCACCCTCCAGGTGTTGGGGAGACCATTATCCCTTATCTTCTTGGCCCTGATGGGTAATTAAGCACGGGAAGTAATCTTTTTGTAATGAAATTGCTTTGGGTTTCAGTTTGGTTCTCAACTCCTGTAGAGGGTTTTTTGGTTCGTTCTTTGTCACTGTTTTCCCATTTTAACTGACATTTCATCGTAAGTTTTTTTTCCGAGCAGTGCAAGGATAAAGTGCAGTCACTTCCCATGGATGGAACTACGTACCTGGCCCTGCCATTATTTCAGTGCCTCTTTTAGCCGAAACCGGTGTGGCTCAGTGGGTAGAGCGTCTGCCTGTGGACTGGAAGGTCCCAGGTTCGATTCCGGTCAAGGGCATGTACCTTGGTTGCAGGCACATCCCAGTGGGGGGGGGGGGTGTGCAAGAGGCAGCTGATCGATGATTCTCATCGATACTCCTAGCTCTTTATCCCTCTCTCTTCCTCTCTGTAGAAAATCAATAAAATATATTTAAATAAATAAATAAATAAAATAAAGGGCTGTGCCCTCGGTACTCCATAGAGAGTGGGTGTGCCCTACCAGAACCCGCCTGTTCTCATGTGCATATATATATAGTTGGGCTTTAGTTTTTAGGGAATGATGTAGCCTCATATATGTATCCTTGGCCACTAGGGGAATGGGTCAGAGGTTACACATCTTAAAAATCTTGGTAGATGTCAGATCTTCCCACCAGGAGTACATGAGGTTTCCCCCGTATCCTCATCAGTCCATGACCATGTTTAAATGACTAGTAGATAGAACCGAGAAACTGATAGAAATCTTAATTTTAGGCTCTAATTTGTTTGCAACAAAAGTATTGAGCAGCAAAGAATTTGCAGCATCTGTAACATTAAAAAAAAATTCCTCACCCTGGCCCAGAACTGCTCCGAGTACACCCTAGTTTGTAGCAGTTGGTGGGAGAGCTTACTGGTTGGTTTTTATGTTGTTCTTATAAGGAAAAGCTTATAACCTATGTATCATTCTGAGACATTATCCAGTTCTCTTCAAAGCATGCAAAGTGATACAGATTTGAAGTGGAAATAATGATTTTTGGAGGCATATTCATATATATTATTTTTTATTTTTTATTTTTTGTTGTTGTTAAACAACCACTTAGGTTTTCAACTAAGTCTTTCCCCCATAAAATCATTACTTTTTTGGAAATGGCCTCTTTAAAGAGGTTTTCCTCTAGCTTTAATTAAAATGGCAATTTATGTGTTTAATACCCTGGGACGGAGGGGCCCAGGAGTCTTTTTATAGAAACCCTTGCAGCTCAGCGAGGGCTCTATCACTGTGAGTCCCCAGTGGTGAGCGGCAAAGGTTACACATGTGGAAAATGTCACATGTTGCCCCACTTCCCGAGCTCCTCCCTCTGCAGGGAAGTCTCCAGTCTTGCATGACACTGCTCTCCATCCATTGGAACAGCAGCCAAGATTTCATTTTGTCCCCAAATTAAAAAAGCTAGTAAATACCCGGCCAGGGTGGCTCAGTGGTTGAGCATCGACCCATAAACCAAGAGGTTACTGGTTCAATTCCTGGTCAGGACACATGCTGGGGTGGCAGGCTCGATTCCCAGGAGAGGTGTGCAGGAGCAGTCAATTGATGATATTTCTCTCCCATCCATGTTTCTATCTCTTATCCCTCTCAGTTTCTCTCTAAAAGATCAATAAAAACATTTTTTTTTTAAAAGGAAGGTAGTAAATAGGCTCACCATTTCTCACACGTGGGATGTGTTATTGATTTTTTTCTTTTGCTGTTTTCAGTTAGAATGTGCATCTAATGAATAAGGTAGGACGTCTGTAGCTTCCTAATTGACAGCTCGTTCGGGACCCTTTGGCTGGTGCTGCGTCTCCCTGTGCAGTGTTCTGACAGCGGCCTTCCCCTGCAGATGCTGGCCCATCCGTGGTGTCTGAAAGGAAGGGGGTCGCAGGTGGGGTCAGCTCCTGGGTCTGTGTTCCCTGTTTCAGTGAAGAGCTTGAAACCTTGGCTGGAAACCCTGTCTCCCTCAGGCCCAGTCTGATCCTTTACCTGGGCTTGTTTCTTTGCCTGAAACGACCTTTTGAATCTGTTTTCTGTCCTCCCTTCAGCCACTGCTCTCTCTGTAACCTTCACCATCACAGCCGAATTGCTGTGTCCCCACCCCGAGCTGTGCTCACCGGGCCAAAGCCTCTCGTGAGTGTTTAATACATGTCTGGCCAGAACTGGCCTTGCCTGGACTCTCGCAAAGCCCTCTTGCTCTCCCTGGCTGAGCCCCCTCCTGTAACCCACGCTCTGAAGTGAAACATGTATTCGTGGCTCCACGTCACATCCTCAGGCAGCTCTCCTGCTGTAGAATGAGTTGCCAAGCTCAGGGTGGCGTTTGAAGTCTAACTTTCGGTCCCAGTCCCACCTCCAGCGCCCGCTTGCCGGCCCAGGTCTCCCTGACCACACTGGCATCCTCAGACAGGTTTGGTTGGCAGCATGGCCACCCGTAGACGTTGCACTTGCTGGGGGCAAGCTTTGTGTTACTTGTGTCCATGGTGCTAATCTAAGCTCAACATCAGGTCGGTTTGAAGTTTATTCACCGAACTTATAATGCAGCTCTTTCCAACGCGTTTGTTTGACAGGACAGTGGACAGAGGACGCAGACCCTCGTCCTGGAGAAACCATGTCAGTGTCAGCTCTGACACTGAGGAGCTGTGTCGCATGCATGTACTGCCCATGCTGCTAACGTGTGGAAGCGTGGATGTAATGCCTGCTGACTGATGGAAGCCCGGCGTGGTCCCTGTCATAGAGCGGCCCGGTAATTGCCAGCTGCCTTCAGAGTGAAGATAACCTTGTTGATTGAGCTCTCTGCTCTGCACTGGGGGAGCAATGTCAAAGGTGGGGTGGCCCAGGGGAGGCTCAGGAATGTGTGGGGATAACTGTGTGGGCTTCGGGCATCCGGGGAATCTGGGGGTTGTCAGACTGTCTGCTGAGCTCCCAGCGCTAGAATTGCAACTATGTGCCGGGAAAGCCTCTTTACAAGTCTCTGTCCCCTTACCCCCTCCCCACCTCCCACCCAGCGCCCGGCTCCCCAGCAGGCGTGCACCGCAGGCCGAGTCAGCAGGAAGCTCTGGGGGTCGTCCACGTGGGGGGGGGGGGAGCTTTCGGGTACAGGCCAGAGGGTGTCCTGAAGAGAAGGAGTCGTAGAGAGCTGGTCCGGGTGGTTTGGTGTGCGGGCCTGAGGGGCCTCCTCCAGGGCACCCTTTAGTTTCCTGTGGCTGTGACCTGTCGGCCCTCAGGGGAGAATGGAAAAGGGTGTTGTCATCACGCTGATGCTGGGGAGCTCTCCTCTGTGAGCGGTAGCTGGTGCCAAGCCCCGCCTGCAGTGCTTGTACGCCTCGCGTGTCCTGGGACAGTGCCAGTGGTGTGGCACTAGGGCTGGTGCTCCGTGCTGAGGCCGTCCCCGTATGTCAGGGCGGGGGTGGGGTCAGAGCCTCGGGGAGGACCTGTGTGCCCCGTTCACACGGGGGAATGGTCCATAGGCCCGTCCTCTAGGCACTGCCTGGGTGCACAGCCAGCTGTAAGTGTGTTTGTTTTAAAGGGAAGGAAAACCCGCTCAGTCCCCGTTCCCTCAGGCTGTCTGATTCCTGTTCCTCCTTAACTGAAACCTGAACCTCCCCAAGCGAGGCCTGAGGCTCTAAGTTTCCTTAGTGTTTCTATCTGAACACTTAGATTGTGGTGTGTTGGGGGTTTTGTGTGTGTTTTTTAAAGAAAGCCCTCAGAATTGTAATTGTGGTTATTTAACACAATCTTCTGTTATGTAACAAGCTGCTATTCACCAGTAAGAGCCAATTAGGAAAGAAAACACTTTGTATCGGCTCATCGCAATTACCATAACAAAGCAGTTAATAGCTGAGACTGGCCTGATGGGAACCCAGAGGAGGGTAGCCTCAGTCCCTGCAGCTGACCACCAGGGGAGGGAAGGCTGGGGGCGTGCTGGAAGAGAAGCAGCCAGTTCACCACCCACTTCCGAAGCTCTGGAAGCACACGCCCACGTGAAGGAAGCAGTGCGACCCGACCGACCTCCTGGGCCTGGGATTGGGCCCCTCTTCCAGGGATGTGGCTCAAAGACAGTCTTTTTTTTGGTGTAAGTCTCACTCCTGCTTCTGGCTGACTGATGTGAGAGAGTTCCCTGCACTTGTGATACCATTTCCTGGTTTGTCTGCGAGAGAATTCCTAACAGTAACATCCTTTTCCCCCCAAATATCAACAGAGGAAGATGACGGTGGGTTGACACCAGGGAGCCCCCAGCATGCCTGTCCCAGGTTCGTGAGGAAGCATACATATCCGGGCGTGCTCTTAAGATTTAGTTG